GTTCTTGGCCCCTTTGTCAAATATCAGGTGGCTGAAATTGCATATATTTGGGTCTTCAGTTTTGTTCCATTGATCTGTGGGTCTATATTTGTGCCAGTACCATGTTGTTTTTTTGACTATAGCTCTGTAATACAGCTTAAAATCTGGTATAGTAATCCCCCCAGCATGGGTCTTAGTGTTTAGGATTGCTTTGGCTCTCTGAGGTCTTTTGTGCTTCCATACGAATCTTATGATGTTTTTTTCCAATTCTGTGACAATTGTCATGGGGATTTTGATTGGCATTGCATTGAATCTATAAATGGTTTTTGGTATGATGGTCATTTTCACAGTATTAATTCTTTCAATCCATGAGCATGGGAGGTCCTTCCATCTTCTGATGTCTTCCTCAATCTCTTCCTTTAAAGATTTAGAATTTTCTTTGTAGAGGTCTTTAATGTCTTTGGTCAGGTTCATTCTGAGAGTTTTTTAGTTTTTATTTTCCAGCTATTGTGAACAGGAGTGTTCCCATGTGCTCTTTGTCTGATTGCTTGTTATTGGTATATAGAAAGGCTATAGACTTTTGTAGGTTAATTTTGTAACCTGCCATTTTATTGAATGTGTTAATAATTTCTAGGAGTTTTCTGGTGGAATTTTTGGCATCTCTTAGATATAATATCATATCATCTGCAGAATGAGATAATTTGATCTCTTCTATTCCAATTATTACTCCTTTAATTTCCTGCTCTTGTCTTACTGCTTTTACAAGAATTTCAAGTACTATGTTAAAGACAAGTGGAGATAGTGGACAGCCTTGTTTGGTTCCTGATTTCAATGAAAATGCTCCTAGTTTTTCTTCATTTAGAATGATGTTGGCTGTGGGTTTGTTGGCTTTAATTATGTTGAGGTATATTCCCTCCAGTCCAATTCCCTCTAGGACTTTGAACATAAATTCATGTTGAATTTTGTCAAAGGCCTTCTCTGCATCTATTGAGATGACCATGTGGTTCTTGTCTTTGAGCCCATTTATATGATTTAAGATGTTTATTGAATTACGTATATTGAACCATCTGTATCTCTGGGATAAAGCCTACTCGATCATGGTAGATGATCTTTTTGATGTATTTCTGAATGCAGTTCACAAGTATCTTGTTGAGAATTTTTGCGTCTATGTTCACTAAGGATATGGGTCTATGGTTTTCTTTTTTGGTTGTTTCTTTACCTGGCTTTGGTATTAGAGCGATACTGGCTTCATAGAAGGAATTTGGACATTCTCCTCCATTTCTAACTTTGAATAAATTAAGTAGTATTGGAATTCTGCTGTACATCTATCTGGTCCTGGGCCTTTTTTAGTCGGAAGGTTTTGTATTAGTGTTTCAATTTCTTTTTGTGATATGGGTCTGTTTAAGCTGTTAATGTCTTCTTGGTTTAGTTTTGGTGGTTCCCGTGCCTTTACATATCCATCCATTTTAGGTTTTCAAACTTAGTAGCATATACGTTTCTAAAATTTTCCCTTATAATGTTCTGTATCTTTCTGGTGTCGGTTGTGATGTTTCCCCTTTCATCTCTGATTTTGATTTAGAGGTGCTCTTCCTTTCTTTTGGTTAACTGGGATAGTGGTCTGTCAGTCTTGTTTATCTCTTCAAAGAACCAGCTCTTGGATTCATTGATTCTTTGTATTGTTTTCTTTGTTTCTATTTCATTGACGTTTGCTCTGATTTTT